AATTTTGATTTATGATCATGCTTTTGTTAGCCAGAGCTAATTTGCAGTTTTAAATGATTCTAATTAGACTGACATGGTCTGTCGGTCTGTCTGCGTATGTGTGGAAAAATCAAGTTGACGGTATAGGTGGATGGATGAATGAATGAATGAATGAACGAACGAATGAATGAGTCATTGAATGGATTATTATTGAATGGATTATTATTGAATTGTAAACCTGATAAAATTAAGCGTATGATCTGAATATTTAAAAATGAGTTACTAAATATTAAATGAATGACTTGATGGTATGAATGAGTGAATGAATGTATGAATGAATGAATGAACGAACGAATGGATAGATTTGTGGTTGAATGCATGAATGAATGAATGGATGGATGAGTAAAAATTTTGTTGAATGAATAATAGGCAATAATTTTCCCAATTACCTCAATTATAAATATAATGCTTAGAATGCATGGACTTTCTCTCTCTCTCTCTCTCTCTCTCTCTCTCTCTCTCTCTCTCTCTCTCTCTTTCTTTCTCTCTATCTATCTCGCTCTCTCTATCTCTTTATTGGTTGATTGGTTGATTGATTGATTGATTGATTGGTTGGTTGCTGTTTGTTTTATTTGAATAGCTGAAAGTTTCAAGGATGAATGAACGAATGACGGTTTGATTGATTGATCGAAGAATGTGTGAGTGAATAAATGAGTGAATGAATGAATGATTGATTGATGGATGGATGAGTTTTTTTGTATGAATGAATGAAAAAAGAAAAACAAACGTGTGGATGAATGAAGGAATGAATAAAAAGTTACGACTCCATCAAACAAATAAAAGAATGACTGAATGAACGAATGATTGAATGAATGCATGCATACATGAATGAAGGAACGAACGAACGAACAACCTATATAAAATCCGAAATAAAGAAATAAACGTCTATTTATGAATTTGGCTTAAGCCATTCAAAAAGGACAATTGAACGGCTGAATAAACAGCGAAGAATGAAGAAATAAAACTAAAAATACTATCTATCTATTCATCTAGTATAAAGGTATTACGGTACAGTTTTATCGCTAATACGTGAACCCACACACACACACCACACACACGCACGCACAACAAACAAACAAACAAACAAAATATACAATACATTGGGTATATTTTAGATATAAATGCTTTTGAAATGTACCTACATATCTCTTCTCTGTATTGTTATTTGTACACGTATGTCATGTCTGTTTGTATTAGATGGGTATGACCTTTTTGAAAGATAGAAAGAGAGAGAGAATAATAGAAAAAAGGAGGAATAAAAAGACGAGCGAGAGAGAGAGAGAGAGAGAGAGAGAGAGTAAAACATTTTTTCAATTAGAAGTTCTCCAGTAGTTTTGTAGTTTACTCTCTTTAAAGCTGAGCCAAAAAGTAAAAAAGCCGTGTCTCCATCTTCTGTTATCATCATCATCTTCATCATCATTATTATATCTATTATTATTATTACTCTTATCTTTATATTATTATTATTATTATTATTATTATTATTATTATTATTATTATTATTATTATTATTATTATCATCATAGAAGTTTCATTAATTACGTAGTATCGTCATCTTACACAATTTACAGTGATAGGACACGATTTGAACGTAATTTAATGCTGATTCTATTTCTCTTTGTGACCATTTAAAAAATTGTATGGCCAGCATTGAAGAATATCTATAATAATTTACATTATAAATTTTATTACTTTAACTTCACAATTACAATATGTGTTTTAAAATGGGAAAAAATGGATGTTCTCATTACTGTTACACCATGTTTAAATGTCATCTAACAGACAAAAGGCTCGTGTAGCATATAATATGACATCAATCAAACACTGTATATTTTTCTCGTGTCATGATATGTGTGTATGTATGTATGTATGTATGTATGTATGTATGTATGTATGTATGAATGTATGTATGTATGTATGT